TATCGTGAACTGTGCCTTTCACAACGATCGAGTTCTGTTCATTTTTCCACCGTCACACTAACTCTAGCCCCTTGAGGTAGCGAAGAACCAATACATACATGCTATCTACTTTTCTTTTTCCAAAGCCATCATGAATTAGAACTGGCACCTCCAAGGTGCAACAACTCACTCGAGTAGCTCATTCCACACAAATTAGAACGCTGATGACAGTGTCTTCTTATCCTGACTCAAATCTTGCACTCCTGTGATTTCAGCTTCTCTATGCTAGCAATGTGATAATGATGCCATTACTTTCTTCCACCGTTGCCTTCAATGACATAGCTTAACATGAAAATGACTTCCGAGATTTCCAATTGAATAGAAGAGACTTGCGGGCCAGAGTATGCCAGATGGGGGCTGTGGGGTTTAAAGGCTGCTGAGATGGGCGCAACAATGGGTCAGAGCCACGTTTAAAGACGGATGTTGCGTTTGGACGGTGTTGAATAGCTCACCTCATTTAGAATAGGGAAAAAACTTGTTGGAAATTCAAACTACTCGTCGTTACTCATAGCGAAGAAGTGAGGAAATTGTTGGCACTTCTGGCTCGCTGTAACCAGCTCTTTACTCAATTACAGACGTCTTGAATTGCGCCCAGACACCTCGGCTTCGTGGTAGCAAATTAGTAAAACCCTGATAAGTACCTAATGTTAGGAAGCGATCTATTACACGGACTCTGCCTGCGGATTTCTTACATTCTTCGACAATGATGTACGGTTGTCTATCAATATTTCCACTTTTAACTTATAAGTAGGATACCTTTCTAATTTATGACTTTTTTTCAAGCGAAGGAATCAAACGACGACACGTTTTTGACTAGTAGGCGTGCCATAATAATGACTTTGTGTGACCCGAAAGATAGAACAAGAAATCTCTGGTATGTCTATCACGGCTGCCATTGTTGGTTCATGTTTATTATAATCAATGAAGCATGTAGATCGCCTTATAACGTATGGAAAATGAACCTTTAGCAGTAGAAGAAACAGAAAAAGAACATTTTATCTTCAATAACGCAGTAGTTCAACAATAACAACAATGCATGGGTTGTTCCGAAAATATTGGGTTGTAGGGAAAGTTTCAGCCGATTTTTGCGGTTAACTGTAAGTAGAGATTTTTTAAATAACGAATAATATTTACTTATTTATTCATTTCCTTTATTACACAATGTACACTCCATTTTTCTGGTTGACGGTTCACCATCTTTTTAGAAGTTTCATTGTTCCAGTTTTCTGGAGGACCCTAGAATTTGGAAAAAAACTGTTCAACAAGGGAAGGATCTCATGTCGAAGTGGCCTTTTGAAATGAGACTTATACTGCTAAACGTATTTCCGGGTGCTGATTTCGAGCCAGCTTACCCAACGATTCTCTGAGCAAAGTTATGAAAAAGGTGTGCTTGTGCTCACAGTGGTGTTTTGGTGAGGTGGTAAGTGTGACGCTTCATGAGACCATAGAAGGGATAGAAGGGAAAAATCTGTGTGCTGATTTACCGCCTTTTTGATGCCTGAGGTGATTCAGTTCCTACCTAAACTTTACAGTATCACTACTAACTCTTTGCCTCCTATGTACATCGGAGAAAGTCCGTTGCGCGCGTCCGTCGAAAGTAGGTCACCCCGCCCACTTCGTGCGCGGCGCTCCCCACTAAGGTCTCTAGATGACATTACGGTACCACCAAGTGTCAGTGGAGTGAACGATTTGCATTTGTCCGGGTCATCTTCTCTTTGGCTGACTGCTGCAGACCAAGCGCAAATCCTATGCACCACTGACAACTACGACGTCTGTCAAGTATCGCGGGCTGACCCGCCGCATGCGACGGCTGCGGCGTCACCTAGTTTCAACGGAAAACGAAGCGCAGCTGTGTACATCTTTTTCTCTGTGGGAGATCTGAAGGAAATGGACACACAGCAATTTTTAGCGCCAAGGGGCTCGATAAGAATGCAAAGGGTCGTGCAGTCAGTCTGCTATGGGCCGCATTTTCCCACTTAACTCTTGTCTTTTCGTTGATGGCCACTTATTGGTCAGAAACGTTGGTGTTGATCCATTGCAGAAATATTCCGCATTACTCTTCATTGACCTAGCTTTGATGGGAACCACTGACGAGATTCGTAGCAAGAACTCTTCCGTACAGGAATTTGGAGGCCCGAGCGTTTAGACGCTCTTATGAGCGAGCACTTCAAAATCAGGTGATAGTCGCCAACATAAATATGTATTGCTAATGTGAATTCTTGAGCATTCTTTGGAGGTTGTGTGGCTACCAAGTCTGTCTTAACAACTGCAAGCAGCAGTTATGAAAGTGTCATCTGTATCTGCATCTATTTCCTATCGTTTAGTAAAATGTTCAAAAATATCACACGCGTAGATGCTCATGATCTCAACTTTTGCGTGCATACTCGCAATCTACTCTCCACTCACTATTATTTGTCTACTTTCAATTCCGTTCTCCTAAACTCAGAAGACTTTTCTTTTGCTCGAACATGCCTCCGGTTGCTCATGCACTCACCCAGGTGATTTGGAGACGCCTGTATGGAATTGTCTTCTGTAAAACATCTTTTTCGCTTGAAGTGCACCCTTTGCGCTAGAAATGCTCTCGAGGTCCTACACTTTCATAACGGCTTTACAGAAACAGAACTCAAAGAATCTTATCTTCATACGGAAGTATGAAGAGATGTTTATCTTTCCAAAAATATATAATCCACTGTATTGAAGACTTTTATAAAACAGCTGATAAACCCACTGCATCTGAAATCGGCGGAGACTTTCCGAACAAGCCAATATAAATGGTTAGACCATGGCAGGAAGCACTATCAACATATTGTTCACGTATGGATGAATATTGTTGTCAAGAAATAGGTGATTCCATAATCTCCCATTCTCTTCTCAATAAATGCCTCAGATTCAGACCGATAAGAGCTGCTAAAGCCGCCACCTAAAGTCATCAATATGTACATGTTGTAGAACCGCTCACAAAAGAAGCGAAAACTCGGAACCATGCCTGCTCAGCCATTCGTATATTTGGTTGTCCTTTACGTGATCGAAATTTCTTCCCAAGCACCTCCACACTTCCTTCGAATCTCTTGTCTTCAACGCGCTGATGCTGGTTGGAAAAAACATTGAACTCCGTTAGGAAAAAGTTGTTTCAGAAGTCGGGGTAACCATAGAAGTGGAAAAACTATTAGAAGGGTGGTAATGATCAAAGGCGCAGCTCAGAGTAATTTTGGGCTGAATTATATTGCGAGGAAAATGAAAGAGAAGGTGGAGAGTAGTGAGATGGAGGCGGAGAAAGCACGCGAATCAGTGTTTTTGAAGTGATAAAAGACTTTAAAAATTACTTCATAGGTCGATGGGCGTGGACGTCGACCAATCCGGTAAAGGGGTTTATATTGTGCCCTATCTATTGAGTTTTGTTTCTGATAGGATCCTTTGTCTTACTCTTGGAAGTCACTGATTAATTCTAGGAGAAAGCCGTTAGAATGATTTTTTATTGTGAACTGTCCCCTCAACTATTTTAGACTATGAACTTGACTCAGAAGGTAGTAAACAGAAATAGTTTTGAAACAGTTGCTAGAAGAAAATGAAGAGAATGCTATGGAAGATGATCGGAAACTTTATGAAGATTCAGCATCGGTATCAGTTTTAGGAACAAACGTGCTCCTCTCAAAACAACAACAACCAGGAATTATTCCAACACTAACATCTCGAGCAAGTAGTCCCCAATCGAGGACGACAAGATTCTAATGTTAGGCGCTTCAATGTGACAATGAAGTTTGACAGTAGAAATCGCATCTACCAACCTCACTAACATTGAAGGATGGGGAAACATGAAGTATGTGATTGATAACCCCTTTGGCCGGATGTTTATCCGCTTCATACATACCAGTCGGGCCGCCCGGCTGATGCCGGGCTTCCCTCCTTCTTATGGTGACGCCCGGCTTCGCCAAACGGTCCTCCGCCCGGCGAAGCCGGGCGTCACCTCCTGCGATGCGTAAATAACTCTCCGGATTCTCCTTTTCCTTAAAAGCTCCGCACCCTCAGTGCTAGCTCCGAATGGGGAGCGATTTTTTTTGTAAGCCATCTTCGCTGTGTCCGGTAAGAACATCGTATAATATCACAAAGGCGATTAGTCAGAGAAAAAAGGACAGATGGGCCGAGGAAGCGTATCCCGTGAAATTTTCGTGCAAATGGAATACTTTGAACGCCCTATGGCCAAATTGTCAATTTTCGCGCAAACCCGCCCTGGGGGCAAGGTCCTTTCCTGCCACCTATACTATGTCGCTCAGTCACACCTGTCGCCTGCACTCCTACCAAGTTTGAACGCTCTAGGGCCAAAATGACAATTTTCGCGCAATCCCCGCTCCCTATGGGCAGGGTCTGGTCCTGCCACCTATAGTGAGTGTTCCCATCCTGTTCCCATAACTCCTACCTAATTCGAACGTTCCAGGTCCACGGGGACAGAAGTTATGAATTTTCGCTCGAACTCCGCCCGGTGGGCGAAGTCTCGTACTGCTGCTCACTATAAGTGTTTCCATCCTGCCGCATGAACTCCCAGTGAATTTGAACGTTGTAGGTCCACGGGGACAGTTGTGAGTTTTTGCACAAACCTCGCCCACTGTGGGCGGAGTCTGGCCCTGCCACCCACCATTAGCGTTCCTATCTTGCCGCCCGTACTCCTGCCGAGTTTGAGTGCTCTAGGATCACGGGGACAGGAGTTCTGAATTTTCGCTCAAACATTCATTTCCCACAAACCCCGCCCCCTTTGGGCGGAGTTTGGTCCTGCCGCCCACTAAAAGTGTTCCCATCGTGCCGCCTGTACTCCTTCCAAATTTGAACGCTTTCGATCCACGGGAACAGGAGTTATGAATTTCCGGTCAGACGCACACACATACACACAAACACACCAACAGGCACACTTAGCCGATTATATAAGTAGGATAGCATACTAATTTTGAAGACTCACCCTCCCATCTCTTTGACTGTGGCAACACTGGTACGCTATCAGTAGTGACAACGCATGATTAAAGGTTTAGAGATGGAAAACGGGGTGCAGCATTTGCACAAAAATAATCAGGAAACTTTCAATCAGTGCAGAATAAATGACGAAGAATCGTTTTCAGAAAGGAGTTCCTGTGGGTTCGCAAGGTAAGATGTGAATCAAAGAAGTAACAGAGATGATGTTGTATACCAAACGAAGCATCATAGGCTCCATTCTTTCTCCCATCAATATAACAAGTATCATCTTTCAATTTTTTTGAGATAAGACTTGAAAGAACTCAAAAGGGATCCTTGCCGTTTCGCAAAATTGCCCGAAAGGTCAGTTGCCCTTTTCCCGCCTTCACAACTCCACTCAGCCCCGTGTAAAATGGACTCGCTTAAGTCCAATGGCCTCTCGGCCAGACTCGGCTAATATCGTTTCTATGAAATGAAAACTTATCACAATTGCGCATTTTGAATGAAGAAGGAAGCGAAATAGAAGAAAAATGAACGAAAAAAAGGAGAAAGAAGCAGAAGGAGAAGCAGNGGCTAATATCGTTTCTATGAAATGAAAACTTATCACAATTGCGCATTTTGAATGAAGAAGGAAGCGAAATAGAAGAAGAATGAACGAAAAAAAGAAGGAGAAATGATTAAACTGATTTACCGTCGCGTAGACAGGTTTCGCAGCATTCACTTCTTTGCAGTAATCGAATAACACACACTTAGGCGTCATGCTGGAGTTCTGAGCGTCTTTCAACTTCTTCCTGAAAATAGTTTTTATTCGAGCACTCACGATTTGCAAAGATAACGATTCTAATTAATTTCAAATCTTCATACTATAAAGCGCTAACTTGCATGTCTGTTCTGAAAACAAAAAAAAAAAAACGATCAAAACCATTTGCATTTGCCCTTCGAAGAGGCAAAGTTAACGTGGCTTCTTGAGTCGTTCGTCTTCTCCTTCACGAATATGGTTACAGAAAAATTTTGCTTGATAGATTCCGCACCGAATGATTTACGATCTCAATTACCCAGTCGCTCATCCTCACCATAATTCCGAAGGAGTTTCTGTAGAATATAGTCACGGGCGAAGAAAGGTGGATCCACTAGGGTAACATCAAGGGGGTTGTTGTCTGACACTCAAAATGGGAGAATGCGCTACACAAGCCAAAATGGCACCTGATTAAGGCTCTGTTGCGCTGCTTTAACATGAAAGAACTACTACATCACGAATTACTTCCTCAAAGATTGACAGTCATGCATAACACATACAACCATCAGCTCCGGGAAAGATCAAGAAGGCTTTCTGACCGTATTCTGCGTGATCGTGCGGGGCCTCACGTCGCAAAAACCACGCAGTGGGGGTCACAAGGGTTTGGCTACAATGCGTTCCCTGCTGTCCCCATGCTCAGCATCTGCCTCCTTTTGCTTGCACTTACTTGGACATTTAGAACAGTCATTGCTCAAGAAGAAATTTCAGCCACTTTTGTTAACTTCAAAAATGCCGTAGCTCGCTTCGTCGACCCACAGTCCTTCTCTTCTTCAGAAAGAGGAATATCCTATCTCTCTGATCGTTGGTTGAATGATTGTGGTGGTTACTATATAGTTCGGGGAATAGAAGTTTGAATAAAACTGTAAAGAATTCAAAATGTGCATCCAAGTATTTCAAAACCATTCCTTGTACCACGCCTGTTAATATGCTCATTCACGAGCGCATCTATAACTGAGAAATCCTCTACAAAGTGAACAGAAACAATATTACAGTTCTAGAAGGTTTCGAAGATAATAAAGAATATAATGAAGGCAGCAGAATTGCTTGACTTCTCCATCGGCTAACGCTACTGATCCAATCCTGACAAAAAACGTCTGCGAAGACAGCTTGCTTGCGGATCTTTATAAGACAGGTTTCTTAGCACTGTAGTCAAGACTAACTTCACCACCAATTGGCAGAACGTAACGAGTGTATCAATTCTAATAAAGATATTACTGCAACGGCAGCACTTCCAAGCTAGTGCCTCCAAGGAACAACAACAATGATGAAAAATTCAACTACATTTGAATTGTTGGCTGCGTCTGTTATTGACTAAAATAAAACAAAAAGAAATACGTAAAAACAATATACCCACAAAGGAAAGGTCACGTCGTAATACTCGTATTCGTTTGTTCCTTCGGAAGACCGACGTTTGCATTGCTTCCGCGCTCTATCCTTCCGACATTGTTCATACTTTGACTCGCACTCCCAAGCTCGGCAAATTTCCTGCACACTGCCAGCTAATACTGTCTGTCTTCCTCTGGGATCGCGGTCCTGAGAAGATCGGGATGCTGATTTTTTTTAGAAACGGAAGCTTACAAAAGCAAGAGGTAGAAACAGAAACTTAAGAGAAAGGGTACAACATGAACCAAGCCCTTGAAAAAAAAACATATCGCAAGAGCACCCTACCTGGTTGCTTCCAAGTATCCGCTGCACAACATATTTAGTCATTGTGTAGTTTTCATCGTATTCACAAGCCTAAAAGACAGATGTAACTTTCCTTCCAACATGCCTGAAGAGCCAATCAATCGCTAAATTAAAGAGCACATCAAAGTACGTGACAAGCCAGTGGTCAGCTGGAGACCCAGCTTTTTGGGACTGTGCGGAACAGTGTCTACATTTGCGCGTGAAAGACGAAAGGGAGGGGAGGAGATGAGATCCTTGGGTCTAGTTATGGAGCGTTAGTAGGGGGAAGATGCGTAAAGCAGAGCTCGCTCCAAAACTATATTATCATGTGTGTGTTGTTAAGGAGATGTTAAGATAAAAGGGCATTTATCATAATAAGTGATTTTACATATGTGTTACCTTCTCAAACAAAAACATCTGCGAGAAGGTCAGTTGTGAAGGAAACTAAATCAACGTTTCCTTCCCACTTCTCCTCCCTCTCCGTTCCACGCCTGAGCCCCGAAGTTAGAAACAAGCAACGTTTCGCTTCCTTTTCTTGAATGTCATCAGAAAATAGAGCTTTCCAGGGGAGGATGCCAGGTTGCAAAAGGCCAATGAAACGAGATGTGTGAAGACGTACGGTTTTGAACGCTGATCTCGAACTGTATTCCGAATCTGCGAAACGACTCAAAACAAAATTCAATTGATCTTGTGAGTACATCGACTCACTGTGTCCTCTGCGTTACAATGGTGCAGCGATGAGATGGTGGATTCACAGAAGTTACCCAAAATTTGCCAACTGAGTACTTATTTCGCTTTCGCATCAGGTTTTGCAGAATAGTTTTACGGCTCCCATTGAATTTTCAACCCTTGCTCATCATAGAACACGTCATTAACACCTTGAGAAAAATGTTGTGTTGCCCTTTTATGACTACAAGGATTTTTCGCTCAAAATGGATTTTTTCAGTGTGAGGCTGCTTTTTCGCCCGCTGCTACACATTTTAGGTTTTTCTTTCGTCGAACCGCTGCAAATCTCTTTGATCCAGCGGTTGATTATACTCTTTCGTCATCGTTGCCAGCGACTGTTTGAAAGAATCTCCTCGTTGATTGAAACAGTTTCGGTCGCATTGTTGTAAACCGGGCGAATAAAGCGGCTAAATTCAAGCTTCGATGCCTTATCTTCAAAAACTTATTACACAATTACAGCTACGAGGGGCTCAGCGTGGTCATGAGCAGTGGAGGCCCCTGGTGTGTGCTAACCCAGTAGTCGATATAATTGTCAAAAACTGATGACACCCTCCAGCAGTGACGGTCTCGTTTCTAGAATATAGTCACAAAAACCACGCCCTACTATTCTACAGCCATGTCAGGTGTCAGCTTAGAACGTTTCTCAATTGCGTCCATCCAAAACCCGACACTTTGACTTGAAGACTTAGGTAAAAAATTCCATTTATTGACAATGTCAGAAGTGGTGAGTTATTTCAACATTTCGACTTTTACTTCTGCTTCTGTAAAAAAATGAAGCACTTATACAGTCAGAGATACTGTGATAAGCATTCGAAGATTGACTTAATCTACCCGCTCGTCCGTGCAGAGAATATGATGATGGACGGTGAAAGAAGGGCGGTCAAATTCTCATAATTGGAGGGGTTTGCACAGAGATGGGCGGTGATCAACTACTAATAATTCTGCTCAAATGAAATACTTCGGGCGGAATACCCTCAAAGCGATTCAGCATTCAAATCTAAAGAGGACAACCTTATTCTTATAATCCAACATTCGCACGCGTTAGCGTGCATAGCCCAACTGGTTTAGAGATATGCAGGTTTTCAATAACCAATAACTTATTCAAGATTTGAGCCTATAAAAGGAAGAAGGAATGGAGAACAAAATATAATAGTTACCGTAAACTGTTGCGAAAATCACCTTTCCCCTACCGCATCACTAAAACTAATCCAGATTTGCAAATGTAACGTTCCAGAAAACTTTCTCTTGATAAAAAGATGCAAGGAGAGTTGTCGACCTTGAGAGGAGAACATCCGCAAACATACGCACTTTGCAGATGAGAGCGATGAGTGTATTTGTTCTTGAATCACAAATTTTGTACTTTGTTGATGACATTTAAATGAAGTTTGACGATAAACAGGCAAAAGTGGAGTTCGTTCAGCATTTGATACAGGTTGTCTTCTGTTGCCTCGCTATACTGATGCTGAGTGACACCGACCAGAATGGTCTTTGAAAGAGAAACTTCATCAATAGCTAGGCTACATGAATGGGGTGGTCAACAAGTTCCGATTTCTTAAAGTCACAGTACACGACATAAATGCTCTCTGAGATCAGACCTTAATGTGAAACTGAGACCCTCATAAATGCACAAGGGATGCTAGTGGTCAAAAAACAGCTCAGTTAGGGCGTAAAAAGGGCTCTAAAATCTTCTTAGCCGACTGTAGCTGTCGAAGTTGCACCATTTGTCCCAGATGCACAGGTTTCACGCAGACAGCTCACAGCAATGGCATGCTCCTTGAAGCAGCTCGCCCAAACACCCATTCCATGCAAATTTTCTCGTCACCTTCCCGTCCAACCCTAATTTTACTACTTTATGAAGCCTCATATTCCCTAATCAAGCTGATTCTAGCGATTTCTTTGTCTTTTTGCACTGTTCTACACTATCACTCCCACTAATAGTTTAAAAAAAGGCACCCAAATATTCAAGTAAACTATGCCTCTGGGAGAGCCATAGTTTTACAGAAATGCCCTGCACCGAGCTGGTACTCCGATCTTACTTAGAGAGACGTTTCTTTTCAGCATCGGCACTGCTTACTGTAGGAGATTGCTTCGGAACCAACAACCGAAGCGAATCAGAGTACCAAGGAAGTGTGCAAAAGTTCCCGCGAGCTAGTGTGGTTGCGAGTTGAAGTTGTCGCGAGTTTGTAAAGCTTTCTCACTATTGATTGATGGCACAGAGAATGAAAGGATTGGTCTTTTGGCGTCAATCAATCCCGTCTAAAGGATGCGCCCCGCCCCCGACTTTCATTCAGAATCGTAGTGGCGTAATGAGTGCGTTGTGGCCCATGCAATGACTTGCGGTGGCCAGCCGATGTACAAGTCAGTGCTTNTATCTTCCCAGACGAGTCTGGTACCAATTAACGGAACCCGGAGGGATGGAAGGCTCGGTTGGCATAGGCGGGTATTGATCGGGGACTCGAACCCGTGACCATGCGTAACTGAAAGGCGCCACTTGCCACTACACCACCTCACATAAGTGGGCCTGACGTGAGTGAAAAACTTCCCCTTAGACTGGGGCACCCAAATTTGAAAGATAACTTTTGAAAAATATACGGATAGTAGCATCGAGACAATGACGGTAGCAGTAGGATTAGACTAGGCTGGACGAGCAGAGAGGAGGAGACTAAGGGGGTGGGGGAGGAAAAGATGCGCGAAAAGCGTAATCTGAAGTTAAATACGTCGTGAAGTTGGAATTAGAGAAAATGAGTTGTGTTACCTAAACATGCATGACTTGAGAAGTAATTCGCTCATGGCGAGCGGCTCGCTTACGAAGATTCGAATGTGCGTGAATTTTTTGGCCGGAAACTCATAACTCCTGTTCTCTTGAGCAGGGCGTTAGAAGTTTGGAAGGGATCCAGTCGGCACACCAACTTAACAATAAAAGGAGAGCGATAAAGGAACTAAAATAACTCACAAAGTGTAGGAAATTCTGTACGTCCTCATCAAACGGCAATACTCCTTGACGTCGGAAGATGGATGGACAAGAAAGCGCCTTCCGCGCTATCATCACAGAGGAAGCTTGTGTAACTTCTCGAAATTTCAGGATGTCATCGTAACATGTTATTATACCAGAACCACCACTGAAGTCAAGTCCGTGATTAGTGAGAATTGGAACATATGTATACTGGTCATGTAGTCAATCTTAAAGAAATGAAGCTAAGACTAAAGTTTTTCTTATCAATGAGCAAGGCCTTCTGCTTTATGCTCGTTGACTGCTTAAAACCCCACTTTCTTCACATGAATTCAATATCTGTTGATCACACCACTGCAAAATGAGTGCTCCTTCTACATTTTACACGAATAGAACAGGCTCAAGGGCAAGGTCTTACTGCGGTAATTTCTTCAATACATAGAATTACTTACTTGGCGATTACCGGTATACTAACAGTCCGAGTGATCTCGCGAATTTCATCAATCCGGCACGGATGCTGATCACGTTCTTCTCGCCTCCGACCATGAACTCCTAGAGCGGCAGCACCACATTTTTCGATTTCGCGAACTAGATTCAGTGTGTCTGACGGCTGTAAAACAGTTGTTATAGAATCGAACTGCGTTCAAACCTTCAAAGGCTCAAAGTAACCCAACTAACATCGTCCAGAACCCGGATTTTGCACGACACTGGGACTTGTGCCACTGCAGTGAGCGAAGAAATTATCTAAAAATAGTTAAACGACTACTCTTACATTTTTCTCATAGTGATTTGACATAGATAGAATTTGCTGACAACAGGGTCCAGATACTCGAGCAAACAGGAGAAAGCGTATTTTTTCTTAGTGAAAAGATATGCTACTTTTGACCTTGAATTTACATTTTTGATCTTATTACCTCTGCTTCATAGTAACTTGTCTAACCTAGAACGAGTGAATGATATTATTTTTTTCGAAGACTTTTTTCTCGAGACTTTTTGTTTTGCAGACAGTTCCGTTTTCTTCGCTTCTTACTCACTGAATGAACATGTGTTGAAAGTTTGAGAATTGACTTTTGTGTTTTCTCACCTAATTGCGGTCGCCTCGCTCCCTGCTGCCAAGCAACTCTAATAAATCCTATGGCTACACGTAAATCGAGAGCTTTTATGGTTTGGATGGTTGTCCGACCCAAAATAGCGTTGCATTGGCGACCAAAGCGGCAACTGAAGCTGATGTACCCCAATGGCAAGTTGGCAGCGAGCGGCCGAGACGACCGCCCCTTCTTTTGGTTCCCCGGCGCACGTGCCATTTGTGTTCTCGACGTTGTTGGAATTCTCCCAAAACAATCACAGCATCAGCAGAATTCTGACAAAAACTCAGGGAAGATTTTGTTCAGAAACCATCGTAGTATTACCACTTCAAATGAACCTGGATAAGGTAGTATCACCCGACAAGTAGAATATGGAGGATTGTGATACGGTTGATACATTTTTCTAGTGTGGACATGTTCTGATTTTTTCAAGCGTTTTTTCATGATTTAGTCTGAAATAGATGTAAATTCGGTAATTATGAGTTCTCAACTTTAGTAAGGTCTGGTTTCATGCATAATATAGCTTTGGGAGTCTGCAGTGGACGATTTAGAGGGTGGTTTTGAAAATTTATTGGTCCAACTCGACGATAATAGAACTGAAGAATAAAACTTTTTAAGGTATGCTTTGAAGGTGTTACACATGGGGGACTAAGATGTAGATACAAGATTTACCTCGGTAGGCAGCCCACAAGCAAGGACTCACGACTATTGGAGGGACTCTTGAATCAAGGAGTGCGTCCCTGTACCGATAACTAGTGGAAGACTTATTGGAACATAGCACCCACTTGTCCAACACTCAAAAAGGCGAAAAGGAATACAGGAATACTAATAAAAGTCGAAGCAGTTCAAAGGAGGGCAGTTTTAAGAAAATTTGTTACAAACAACCATCTCGAGCTTATGAAGTGTTCACACCCCCGTGTAAGTGGGTTGGCG